AAGTCTAAAAGCACTGTAAAAAAAATGATGCATGACAAAGTGCGAGAATGGGAAAATCTCATTGTCACATTAATTATCTATTGACAGAAGATATACAGTAGGTGATGCAATGGCTTTGTATGTTCTTGTCTTTATTACCTCTTGGGGGAAAAGTTCAGATCATGAAATGAGTCTGGTGCTCTTGAGTGGACATTTGTTCTCATCACAAAACAACCTCATAATTCAGCACGATGTAACAAAATTGGAGAGCTCAAATTGAGGAGGCTTAGAACCAGGAGCATCAGGGAGTGATAAATCAGGCTAGAGGTGCAGGGCAATGCCGCTTGGGGTGACTTTCACAGCATCTGTGAGACAATGCCATCCCCATTACAAATCATTTTGCCAGGCAGACATCCTAAGGAGCTCCACATACTTGAAGGGACAGATCAAGTTAGAAACAGTGCTAAAAAGGAGGCTGGTCAGAACTGGTCTAAGACACTATTCTGTTCAACTGTCATTCAATTTTATGAGAAAGAGATTCTAATACTGTATAAAGACACATTCTGTAATTTTGCCTTTCCTCTACTAATTTTCAGGGACTTTTTCAGAGTCATAAGCAATGAGCAGCATGCATGATGAACACTTGTGTAAATAAGAGTCCCTGAGGGGGATGTCTAAATATGGCTAACTACTGTAAATGTACTTAATTGAATTATATTAGCATAATTGTCTACATTAGACATCCATCTTTCAATTGCTAGTACAAATTCAGGCAAACACTGGTGCATACTTATAGCTAACTATAAACTTTTTGTGATTTATATGAAATGAATTGATGGTCTTCAGTTTAATTTTTAACAGTCGACATCGTTATTTCAGTATCACCTTCTGAGGTGGCTGCAGCAGGTACCTTTGTTTGCTGTCTCTACAAGAAGGCCCACTGGCAACTATTTTGCTTATCACATATATCATAATCTGGCCCACAGAGAGTAACGTTCAACTTGGGAGAAGATGTTGACACAGTTGTAGAGTGTAAATCATCACTATGAGACAGTAAATTCTGCTGAGGCCCATCTTTTTCTTGTTGTGTATGTTTTTTCTATCTGTCATGATACAGGGAGGGCTCAAATATCTAAGAAAGGCTAAGAATGAGAGACATAGAGAAACTATGTATATTGTTTATATATATTGTTTTTATATATTGTTTATATAGAGTGTGTATATATATATTATATAATATATATAGTGGATAAAATGAGAATTCCTTCTTTTCATTCTAGCTATGCATTCTTACAACTCAGTCTCAAAATACACTTTTTTGTGTGTGTGAAGAAATTATTTCCAATCATCTGTAAAGACATCAGACCATTAATGTAGTTCCTGAACTGACAATCTGATGGAACACAGAAGGTTTCTGTGCTTAAGTCCTAAGACCTGTATGCAAAACCCACGAAAAAGGAAAACTTAAGTACTGCAATATTCCACCTTGATTTACAGCCTTCCCCAGATTACTTCTCAACTATATACAACATGTGATCTGCCATAACTGGGAATAAGTGTAATTAATTGCCACATATTATGTATTTGCAACAGACACCATGGATACATTTGCAAAGTATTATTATTTTATTTTATTTATTAGCTAGCTTTAATTATAATCCTGAAGGAGGCTGAATTACAGTCCAACTGCAACACGGTCTGGTGGTGGAGTAAGTTACAGCTGCCACCTTCATGGGACTGTAGGCAACACAGCAAAATAAAGTGATCAGTTTCCTTCTTCAAATCTTCCAGACATGATTAGATGAAAGACTGGTCAGAAATGGAAAAGTCTTTAGACACAGAGCTGCTGTTTTTTAATTCTGTCAGCTAGGTTTGACAGCTAAATACCATCTTCTGTGATGGAATCATAATGATTAATTAGGTAAAGCAGCTGCATCCAGCCTCTTGTGCAGTTATGACTTATGTTATCGTCACTGACTATAACCTCCATCAACTCTGCTCAATTAACTGAGGTTAAGCATTATAGATTATTGAGGAATTGGGTGATGGTAAATCAGAATGACTTTCCCATTTTAAAAATAAAGGATGGTCAGGTGTTTCAGAGACAAGATTCAATGCCAAGCATTTACAGCACCATTCTCTGCCATAGGTATTGGGTGGACAAATCACTAAAGATAGGGTTTATCATACCTGAATTTAACCATCAAAAAGTTAGGCTTGGAGACCAAGCTGCTCTTTATAAAGCGACATATAGTTACCAGAAAGAGGTAGCCATTTCAGGGGGTGAGGCATCCTATGCTAACCATCCAAGATAGACGGGACAAATCACCAACCCAAGGAACCTCTCTCTCCTTATTAACCAAAGAGGGACTCTTAATGACTAGATGTCATGCTCAAGTTTTATATGATCAACGTGGAGTGACATCACATACATATTCAGATGCCTGAAATTGCTCATGGAAGATGTAGCAGAAGATCCTCAGAGGGTATGCTGCCTCATTCTTCTTGAAGAGACTAACCTAGTACCAAATATCTTTCAAAACATTGCATGTATGGGCTGGTTGTGGAGACACTCAAAAACCTGGAGATTTCATGGGCTTAGTACGCCTAAAAATATGACTATGTAAGCTGTGTCTGTGCTAGTAATTTGAACATACGCAGGGAGGCACCCAAGTTTATATAACATCTATAGTGTTAAATTGTTAAAACGATCCCTAGCTTGGTTTCAGAGCATATCAGGCTAGCACTTTTGTAACCAGTTGCTAAGCATGGTGCAGAACCTAGCATAGTCCAGGGACCACTTCCAACAGCAGTTTGTGTGTGGTAACCCTGCTGTGAAGGCTAAAAGAGTTTAATAGTATGGAAGGATGTTGCTCCATGCCAGATGACCTTAATGCCAGAGAATGGGCATGTTTAATTTATGAATCCATTTAAGGTTTAATCTTAGACTGTATCTATGCCTTCTTCTGCAACCTTTTCTATATTGCAAACTGACCAGAAGCAAGGTAACCCTAAAACTATGAAGCCAAGCCAGTGTTGATATAATATGCCCCTCAGTAGGGTGCATGAAATGACATCATAACCAATACTAAATGGTTTTCAATTGACTCAAAGCGTAGGCATCTGCCTGAAAAATACCAATGAGCATCCCTCAAGGTTTCTCAGAATAGTACTTTCCATGGTTTTTTACACATGGAACGACTGCTTCATCCTTCTCTATGCAGTGTGCAGTATTGGAACAGTCACAGATGTTTCCCCTTGTTATTTATTGTCTCATAGCTGCCATCTGTTCAGTGCAGCCTCCTGTTGTCTCTCCACCAATACTTAGCTCATAAACCCTTTGGACAAGCACATCTCTCTGTCTCTAGGATGCTTGACCTAAAATCTCTGTGGCAATACAGGTAAAATAATAATAGTAATTACAATAGTATAAATGCAGACTTCAGCAGTTGGAGGCAGTAAACAGAAAATTCACCTTAAATGCATGTATGTGTTTATATTCCTCTGAAATAATCTTTCTGAAATAGAAATATAGCCACATATTATCTAACTATATACAGTAAAGTAGTACTTTTGATGGGGAATTTTTGACAGCGAATTTTTGACAAGTCAAAAAATATTACTGGATTTTCTTGAAAGGAAGGCTTTCAAAACACCAGACTTTAAAGAACTGAAATTCTTCATGAAACCATAACCTTTTCAAATTTAACAGAGCAAAACAAATCAACTGCCCCCCAGATCATCCAAAATATAACTAGTTTGAACCCTGCAAAATAGCCAAAGAAGAAAAGTGAAGAAATGAACATTTACTAACGAACATACATATCTTTCTAATGATATCGATTATCATTCCAGGACAGACACAAATGACACTGACTACTAGTACGGTTTCATGGAAATCACACTTTATTTTTTGACAAAATGTATGCATGTTTTAATTGTAAAATTTATAAATAAAGTCAATAGTAAAAGAAGTCTGGGGGAAAAAAAAGTTGATGACACTATACTCTACTTCATCCCAGCTTTAAAAAGGAATATTTAAAAGACCTCTCCAACTGATCAATCAAATGATTCACTCAGATGGTCAAGGACTGTGAAAGATGGTGACTGACCTGATGCAATTCTCTAGTAAGTCAAGGGCTGAATGCTACATCGCAGATGTTATTACATGGTGGGACAAAGCTGTACCACTCTAGGGAGGGCTCTGGGAAGCATCAGACAGACAGTGCCTTCGTGCGCTCCTTGGTGGGATGCAGGAGTGTGGCCAATGCGTTGTATGTCTGTAGGACACTGCACCTCTGCTAGCCAGTCCTGGTGAGTAATGAGCAGAGGAGACAGAACAGTAGTCCTGCAGCCTCTGGATGGCTGGTGCGTGACTTGTGCTATGCTTGCCAACCCTTCCCGCTAAATGGAAAGGACGCAATGAGGATGGGGCTCTACAGGGTCAAAATCGGGTGCTTCCAAGCATTCCCTTTGGGCCTGGTTCATACACACACATTCACACACAGACACGCGCACGCGGGCTGAGCACAGTCTAACCCTAAACCTACATGTGAATGCAAAGCTGAAGGTCAAATCCTAAAGTCCTTAAACAGTTAAAATGTCCATTGAAATCAATGTTATTCATTCCTGGGACAGTGAAATGTTCCATGCATGTAAAGAGGAGGCAATAAGTGCATCCCTTGTCCTAGAGCTGGTGGAAGCTGGTTCTGCCTTGGATGCTGGCTTAACTCCTATCATTTGAAGACCAGCCAGGGACCACAGGGAAAAAAAACCACAGTATTTTCTCCACTCAGATTTGCAAAGAAGGGATGAGAGGGTATGCTAAGTGACTTTATCTATAATACAGAGGAGCCACAGGGCAACCATAAATTGGGCCTTCAAGGAGCTACTTCTGCATGAGGGCTGAAGGGAAGGAACTCCAGGACCTGGTCTGGAAGATGCTGTGTCAATGCTGCCTTTTTGAACGGTTACAGGTTACTGTGGTCAGCCTCTGATGGGTAGCTCATGAGGAACTGCCATCAGGTTGTACTTTCCTTCTTTTTCTTCAGGGAACCTTTCAGCTTTCGCCACAGACTATCTTTCCTCTTCATCTTCTTCTCTACCATGGGCAGTGAAGACTCTTTCCTTCGGATTTCCCTCACTAGTCCATGAAAGACATCATCAATGTAGAAGCGGAGAGCAGCTGAAGTCTCAAAAAAGGAGCAGGAGTATTCTCTGGCTAAGCTCATTCCTTCTTCAGTTGAGACCTAGATGGAAAAGAAAAGTCCATAAATGTTGCCTAATGCACCGAGCGTGAATCAACATGAGAACATCACAGTATATGTAGTCTGACTTTGGATACTGCAAATCACCGACCTTTAATTTTACAGGAAAGTATTCTAACAGTACCCCTACAGAGAAGATTCAAGAGCAAAAGGATCAGACTGAATCCATGAGGTGTTTGAACAGAGCATACTGGCAATATTCATGTTGTCAGGTATATTATTTCCCTAATTCTGATGCATCGATTTTCCCCATGCATTTCCATTCTTTAGGGCAGTAATCCTGTACAGTTTGATAGTGCTGGTACCTTTATTACACAGACTGGAATGGATAGCCAAAAAGACTTACATAGAATTAAGGTCCTAGAAAATCCCTGTTCAGCATTAACCTAATCCTGGAGGCAACTTGACTCTTTAAGCACACCAGCTTTCATACCTCAAGAATTTTCAGTCACATTAATTTCTGAGCACGCCTTTAAGTGTTTTGGTCTTGGCAGGCCTGTAATCCTAACACTTAGCTCATGCCTGAGCTGTACAAAGATCCAAAATCTATTTGTTTTTCAGCTCATCTTCTCTGAGTGGCTCCGTGTACTTATTGTTCTCAGAGAACATGGAGGAAATGCATCTTTGTATTTTGAGGAATCGCCATGAATCTAGAGGGAACCAAGGGAGCTCTTTTTTAATTTGCCTGAATTTTGAAACAGGGATCCTATTCCTAAAATTTCCATGTTGGCTACCTCTTGGCATTTGACTTGCCAGCCTGCTAAATGGAAGGGTGCTCAGCATGCTGATTAATGTGTGGTTTAAATAGAGTTTAAATGCTTACCATAAGGGGTACCACTGCCTATCACTTAAGGTACTTTTTGCATTTTGGGAGCTCATCCAGTAACATGTAGCAAGTCTGCAGCAAAACGAGGAGCAAACCCTATGAGCCTCTAAATATTAAGCTAGCTTTCCAGCCAGTAGACTATCCTTTCTTTTCAGGATTTGAACATAAAACTGAATGAATGAAGTGTATGACTGAAATGTATGGTGTATATTCGAATTCTAGGTCAGAAATTTCAGCTTTTGTTTTTATTTGTATTTGGATATCATGATTTATTCAAGTAACTTTCCAACCATCTGGATAAAAAGGCAAAAAAGTACTTTAAGACAGCCTTGTGAAAGGCTACATAATAGGCTATGAAAAGTCTCCGTTGCTACTGTCTACCACAAGACTAATCTTGTTTTTTTTTTTCTTATTTCTACCTTCATGCACCGAATGTGTCATTTATGATTATCAGGGAAATAAACCCTGAGGTTTCAAGATACAAACAAACTTTCTTATACCTACCATGAGAAAAATGCCTTTTATGATAAAGTTATGACATCACCATGCATTTTTTGTACCTGTCTATAAAGCTGGACACAATGAGAAACAGGATTTTGGTTGAAACAGAAAATCAGTTCTTTCCAGCCTGGAGGTAAATCTGCACCAAGCATGTACCCGCATAGCACAGACCACAGAATTCCTCCCCATCGCCTTTGCAGTGAGTCACAAACTTTGTAATATTAGTAGGATCATTCTTCTATGTTACAGGTATAATCTTAATTTAATTAGGAATATTTTAAGGGTAAGCAGGGAGGTTGTATGCCAACCTGAATAATACTCACTGACACAATGAAAGATTGTTACCGCTTTCCAACTGCTATAATTGCCAACCTTTAGCAAAAGGAGATGGGTAGCAATATGGTCCTTGTTTTTCTCTGGGCAGCTGTGTAAGCAAAATGCGTGATTCAATATGTCTATTGGGCACCATTGAGAAATTGATTGTCTGGATAGAAGACTATTTTGGTCTATTTTGGACTTTATAATCATTTTTTTTTTTCCTTGCTATGCTTTGCTTGAGCTGTAGGAGGATTTTTTATTTTATTTTGTTAAAGACTGCAGTTCTGAGCAAACAATTACACAGAGCTGTAGTTTCAGTGAAGATTTTATACATTCATTACCTAAAAGGAAAAAAAAATGCACATAAATTGAAACATCCTTATGTTAAAGAATGGTAAGGCTGTAAATATAATTAGGATGCAAGCACAGCAATACTCAAATATAAAAAAATTGCTCTTCCCTTTGCTCTGTGGTTTTTTAGTCTTTGCCTGTCTGATTCCTCCTTCCTTCCACTCTTTTTTTTTTTTTTCCTCTTTTCTAGGATCAAAAATATGTTTTCTCCCACCTGCAAGGAAGAACAATTGCAGAGAAGACATGCTATGCTCCGTAATAAAAAAAGACTGCTAAGAGCTGGAAGAACTGGAGAATACTCAGGAGAAATAAATTGCACAGAAAAACTTCCTCCCAGTCTCTATGTGGCTGGGGGCTTGTAACTTGGCCAAATTTGGCTGGATTTCTGTAAAAAGCAGCAAAAGTTTGGTTTTGGACTTGTTTCCTACCAAATTACAGAGACAACATTAAAGTTATTAATGGCAATAGTTCATTTCAAAGTATGGTATTTTTCTTAAATCTTGCCCTCAGGAACTGATTAACTGCTTTGGTGAAATTTTATGAACTAATTCAGCATGAGGAAAACACCTGGCACAAAAAATTTCAGGATGTTTAGTTGAAGTTTTTCAGCTTCAAGGCTGAAAACAGACTTCTCTGAAATCTAATGCTGTCATAAGTACCACTACTGCTTCCAGCACCAATGAAAATATAGCTATAGTAACTTAATTAATCTGTTTGCTGAAGAAACTGTAAATATAGAGAGATGTCTAGAAGAAAAACAGACATTTTTCTTTTGGTTCATATTTCGGTCAAGAGGCTAAACACCTATGGAATAAGAAACAAGGGATAAAGCCCTTGATGAGGTCACTGACACCCACATAATTCCAGGGATTTACCTTGTTCCCATCTTATTGCCAGAAGAGAAACTATATCATACAAATCCATCCCAGATCTGCACAGCTCAGGGACTTGTTGACAAATTGCAGCTTCCGCGGGTCTGGATCAGCGGAAGATATGATCTGTCAGCGTGACACGGACAGACAGGTCAGGGAGCAAGGTCATTCTATTGAATATATATCTGAGAAGCAGAGTTTTATGTCTCATCTTTAGAGTAACCCTCCGTGATTGAATCTGGCATTGTTTCCCAGAGTAGAGTTCTGGTTATATTCATTCCAATTTAACTTGTTTCTTTGCTGGTAAACCTTAAGAAGGGAATGAAGGAGGAAGACTGGTGTAATGAAGATATTGAAAAATGAAAATTTAGGAGCTGGCAGAAGCTTCCTGAGTTTAATCCAAACTTTAAAAACTGTGATTGTCTGGGAGGGGTTTAGATCAAGACTTACAGAAGCAGGGCACGAAGCTTGCAGTATAACCAAAGAGCAAGATCCCCCAGAAGGTCAAGTCCATAAAATGGGCAATGAAGCCTCATGAGCATGATGTGTGAGCCCCAGGAAAAAAAGTCTTTTCACATCTTCCTTGCAAAGTGCATGGTTCTGAGTGCCCATTTGGACACATGTGAGTTGAGAGGGAAGATATACCAGTTACGACAGCATGTGGACTGTGGATAGCACATGGGACTGTAGGCTGAATTTGGGAGTTTTTCATCTCCGGATAGTTCAGGGCAGCTGGAACGCAGCACAGCTTCATGCAGTCAGGAATTATTCACTGGCTACAAACCGCATTTTATAGCATTAAGATTCTGTTTGTGGCTTTTGCAAACCTCCTTTGGAAAATTACAAGTAAGATTAAATGCAATGCTGACAGCCTGTGAAAGCCATGATGGATGAGCTGCCATCTTTAAGACAGCTAGTTCCCCACTAAGGTCAGCTCCTGCACAACCGAAAGGAGAGCACAAAGCTACCTGGGCTGGATGGTGGGTGGGGAGACACTGGCAATCATTGGCCCCCATAGGCAGAACATAAAAATATCTGGATCGGAGAAGGAAATTGCAAAGAAACTAAACAGATCAATAATCTACTTCTGCCCTTGGACTGTCATTAGCCGACAAATCTCCATCAAGATGAGACTATTTTGTGTTCGGCTTTGTCTCTCCTTTGGTCAAGGCAGCAACAGAAGCATCCCAAAGTAGATTTCATTGACAGAGATTGTATTAGTAGAGTCAACAGCATCACCTTGGGTGAGCCAGTGGTGGCCTTCATGCAGGAAAGCAAGGCATTTCCATTTGTGCATCTCATCCCTGCAACAGCATGGTCTACTTGAGATGGCTTTTGCAGCTTTCCCCCTGTGATTTGGACCTCCAGGTTGCCACAGAGAGGTCTGGAGGCTGTAGGTGGAGTGCTAAGAGTTGCAAGGATTCTCCTAAATTTTTTGTTACAGACTTCCACTCTAGCAGTCCTCATTAACTTTGTAATGGGAAACAGTGTAATAGTTATAGATCCAAAAGCTTCGTTCTGTGAATTTTTTTTGCTGAAGACACAAGGTCTTGATCACTAATCAGAGACAGAAGGGAACACATGTTGCTGAACAGAGTGCTCATCTAAATCCCACTGAGGCTAGTAGGAGGAATTCCAGTGGTTTTTGATCAAACTCTGTATTTTTGACAAGCAATAGTTTATGTGAGCTGTAAACAAAAGATAACTCTTTAAGAACATAGGAGGAGGGATGCAACATCTTGAGCAGCCTTTTTTGTACCACAGCAAATAATAAGAGGAGTAGGAAAAGCCACGAGTCCTCTGAATGATGTCTAGGAAAGATCCACGTCTCTTCCCTTCATCTCCAGTGGATTTTTTCTGCTTCCCGACAGGCCCTTTTGCAGAAAACAAGCAACCAGATGCCAGGTTGTGTATTAGCACCTGGATATCAGTTTAGAGACAGGCAGGCAATCCGAAAGAATCCGCACAAATGTTCACATGCCTTCACAGTCCATTCCCTCAGCATTTCAGAACAAACATCATCAGCTTTTGGTACAGGCGCAAACCTATAATATGCCACAGGAAAAAACTGGAGAGATCAAAGGTATTGACAATTTCCTAGGTCTCCAATAAGC